AGGTTGCCGAGGTGATGCAGCAGACTTACAAGTATTGTCGATTGAAATGCGTGTAGGTAATAATTGTTATTACAAACATAATTTTGAATTGTAATTGAGATTGCAATTTTTCTTTATCAGTTTGAAGTGCGTAAATTTATTGACATTTCCGGCCATACACATGTCATTGATGCGCAACAATGGAGTAATTTGTATAAACGTCCACATTATTGAATGAATAATAATAATGTCATAATACTATTAAACATTCCTGTGGCTTACTATCTCCTGTCCACCTTGAATTGCTTAGTTTGCATCAGAAGCAATTCGCGAAATGACAGGCAACTAAAGATAACGAAGTTTGAAAAGTTTTAAATAATTGTATACAGTAAAACATATAAGTTTTTAGACTACAAAGATAGCGTACAAGATCGTTGCAGCGGCAAATGTACTTTTGATGATTTAAGGTGTGAACCGGAAAAAAAGATTAAGTTTATAAACCGGATAACAAAGCATACTGCGGCTCAAATGAGATACGGTAGGCCTACAACTGATATGTCTTGATCAAACCACGCGTTGTAGCTAGAGTTGATTTTAAAACTCTGCTAGTACATTTTTAAAGGGAATACAGCGATAATTCAGTTTAATCGGTATCCGGCTTAGTCACACATTTATTCCAAAGTACGGCTCTGACAACATTGAAAACACAACAAAGCTTACAGACATTATTCTGTGAGTGATCTCATCGCAAACTGGTCATAATGATATAAAGGTGATCCCGAGAGGTGATGATGTTTCCCAGGAAGCCAAACAAGTAAGTCTAAACAACGAAAATGATCTTAGAAAATACAGATTTAAGCATGCCATGGGGTGTTTGCGATGGGGGCTATTGTGTGTTTTGCATGGGTAGCATCATAGTAGAGGCATAATTTGCACGCGACTCAACCCGGTGCTTCCTCTCTTTTATATTTTTATATATCTGTAAAAATAAAGTACTGAATATGATCACCAAAGTGTAGAATATGGATAAACAATACAACGTATCGACTGCATAATAATCTTTTCAGAAGAATATAAAAATCCAAAGTTCAGTTATGAAGTAATTTCATATTTAAATAATTCATCAATATTTAAGCAGGGAAATATACATTTAAGCAAATACCTCCGTGAGAAAACAAGGAAATAGGCCTACCGTGATTACTTACGGTATCGACATTAGTATGTAAGTGATGCATATTTGGAAGTAAGTCAGAATAATTTGCCTAGATGTTCTCTTTCTTTCGTCCTAGGCCTAGTCCTATGTTTAGTATTAGGAAATCTACGATCAATGAACAACGATTGATACGGGCAGTTTCAGACAATGACAGCGAAGAAGTAAGACGGTTAACAAAGGACAAGAGAGTGGAAATTAACACATTAACTGAAGTAAGTTGAATAAGTGTTTGATCCGGTAACACCAGATTTCGCTTAAAATGGATTGTTCTCTGTCGCTGCCTTTGTAGTCAGGGGCGGATTTAGGGGCGGGGAGGGCGAAGTAAAAGAAAGAAAAAAAGAAGTTATTGATCGCCCAAAAACGAGGTTATTTCCGGGCGTAAAACAGAAAGTTGCACCGGGGACATGGCCCTCAATTCCCCCCCCCCATAGGTTAGTGTTGTCTCACGATCGCCTGACACCCTTTCGGACAGAATGTTGCACCAGAGACATGCCCTGGATCCCCCCCCCAGGGTAGTGTTGTCTATCGATCGCCCGTCACCCTTTCGGACATCTCTGGATCCGCCCCTGGTACGAGAAATATATTGTTATCTGGATACGTCCTCAAAAGATGATTATGTATGTAAAACCTATATAATTCAACGAATATGGAGTCTTTAGGAAAGTGAAATGTTAGCAAGTTTAAGAAAGCTCTCCAAACACAAGATATATTTATGTATGAAATTGTTTTAAAATAAAATCACTAATTAAGGCATTTAGAAAGTTGTTCATAAAAGAGGCAGTTTGCTGGTTGGACGGGAGAGCGTGGCATGTGCCGAAAGCAGGACACCATATAATTGGGCAATTACAATATATGGCTATTATATTGTACCATTACATGCCAACATTTGTATTAATTTTCTCCAATAAAGCTTGGACAAACCTCGTTACACCTTGCAGCGGCGAACGGATACATAGAAATTTGTGAAATTCTCGTAAAGGGCGGAGCTGATCTCAAAGGAAAAGATAAGGTAAAAATAATAATCAAGTAGGCCTACCGTAGGAGGTGTTTATTGGTGTTTTCCTAAATAGGCCTATTACTTAGGATTACTATAATCATAGAGAAAATAGAACAGATTTTTTTTTTCTCTATGCTATAATAATGTCAGTCACTATCACAAGAGGAACTAATTATCTTACAGGAAGGAAGGAATCCTCTCCACGAGGCATCGAAAGAAAACCAATTAGACGTTTGTAAATTTATTGTGAACCGATCCAAAAGCACACTCAATGAAAAAGACAATGTAAGATTATGATGATTACATCTTTGAATTGTGTGTAAATGCATACATGCCTAGCCCTAAAGGTTACACATTGTAAACAAAAATATACTGACCCCATATTGTTTGCAGTAGGCCTGAAGACACGGTGTGGTTATATATGAATACAACAGGGTCAAAAGCTAAAATAAAGTAGTTTACTGTTGGACTCGGATGTATAGTTCTATCCTGTTGTTTTATGTTTGTTTTATTGGATCTATATTGCCGTATCGTAATCTAATTTAGATAACCCTTATTAAAAAAATATTATGAATAGATAAATTTTGATGAATCCGTTTGAAAGGATCTCGACGGACCATATAAGGCGGCTACCACCAGTTTCGCCGACTGAGATAAACCTAAGATATTGAACATGGTTTCTACATGGACCGTTTAAGAAACCGTTATTACCAAATATTGAAAATAAAGAGAAGCGTAGGCCTACTGGAATCAATAAAGTATTAATCTATTTATTTTAACAGGGTGGTCTTACACCTCTTGGGTTGGCAATTTTACTTGGTCATCAACCAATATGCGAATTTTTACTTTGTAGCGGAGCTGATACAGCAACCAAAGACAATGTAAGTGTACATCGGAAATCATAGTGTAATAGTAAAGAGGCCTAGCCATCAATTACTAAATATCAACGGCCATCGTGATGGGGGCGACGATGTTGTAGGCCTTGTAGTAGTAGTTGTTGATGATGAGGATATTGATGTTGCTGGTGATAATGAGGGTACTGATCCGACATAATGTGGTGGTAATCAGGGCCGGCGAAACGTTTTTCAAAGTGGGGGGGGGGAACTAGTACGGGGAATGGGAATATGAATGGGTTCAAACTTAGGGGGTGGGGCCAAAACTTTTCTCAATAACCCAAAATGGGGAAGGGGGTCAGAGGTACTCCCCTCCCGGGAAAATTATGATTCCTAGATGGTGGGAAATGAGCTTTCCTGACTTTGAGCTAGGTGTCTTTTAATGACTGAAGGGACTTTAAGGTCCTTCAAAATTCAAGGTTTTCCACCTCTTTGAAAACGGTCAGGTAAACGTCTCATTCTTATTACAGTAAATAGGCCTGTTATGTGTGTATACATAAATTTAAAAAAAATGAGTTGTTTCATACGTGTTCTTTTTCCCATGAATCGTTAAACCCCAAAGAGAAAGGGGGTTCGGGGGTTCTCCCCCGGAACAATTTCGATTCCTAGATGGCGGAAAATCTAGCTTTCCCGACTTCTGAGGTGTCTTTTAATGACTTTTAAATTCTTCAAAATTTTAGATTTTCCCCATCTTGAAAACGATTCCATGAAACAATGAGCCCCAAAGAGAAAGGCGGGTTCGGGTTCTCACCGGGAAAATGTTGATTTCTAAATGACGGGAAATGAGCTTTCCCGACTTCTGAAGTGTCTTTTAATGACTTTTTAAAGTTCTTCAAAATTCAAGTTTTTCTCCCCTGAAAACTGTCAGGTAAATTTTTATCATTCTTATTACAGTAAATAGGCCTATTATGTGCGTACCGGTATACATACTTTGCATACGTATTCTTTTTTCCATGAATCGATGAACACCAAAAATAAAAGGGGGGTCGGGGGTCCTCCCCCGAGAAAATGTTGATTCCTATATGGGGAAAATGAGTTTCCCGACTTCTAATTTTGTATTCAAGGTCTTTACTCTTTATTCAGATAAAAAATATAAATTAAAAATTACAAACAGACGGCCAAAAGACTGTATATGAGTGTATTACAATAATTGCTTAAAAATTTAAAAACAGAACACCAAAATTCAAGAAATTCACAACACAAACATAAAAGAGAAACAATGGATAAAAAGCACATTACCAGTCATAAAACCAAAATAAAATGATAAAAATGGAAGAAATAAAAAAAAAACAATATAAAAATCACATTAATTAAAAATTGAATAGAATTTTCTTATTGTAAGAAAAAAAATCAGCTCATGGGCCCTGAAAAGTTGGGTCTAGAATTCTTTTTATTTTTTATTTTTTTTGCCAAAGGAGGGGGGTCATGACCCCTGATCCCCCATATCCGCCAATGTGAATTGCTAAGAAATCTAACTCGGCCCCGGTTCCGCCGGCCATGGTGATGATGAAAATGGTGATGTTGGTAATTATGATGACACAATAATAATGATGATGATGATGACTCAAGAGGATGGATGATGATGCTCATGATGGTGGTAAAAGGCAATGTACAGAAACGGTTATCTCAGCAGAATTCTTTTTTAATTATGGTTCCGAATTCTGGAATGGGTGACCGCACGAATTCTCTCTTTACATTTACGAATTCCTCAAGAGTATTTTCTCCAGTACTTCATATCAGGCCCACTTGACTTTCGAGACTGAAGATTCTGAGTTAAAATGGAAGTAGGTATACCATAAATGACTCAAGGGGTTAATGGCAGCCAGATGTTTCTCAAAAGATTGCTACCAAAGTCATGAGCCAGTAACCTGGTTTTCCCATACTTTGTTGCTTGGTTACAAGTACGCCAATTTATTTGTACGTGGTGAAGTTTGAAAGCTATTTTTTCGACGATGACGACGACGAGGTTTACGATCGGACGACAACAATAATTATATGTTGACATTTACAGACTATATATGATGGTGATGAAAGAACATGCTGTGATGACTATGGTTGTTAAATATTTTAGTATCAGTTTTTATCTACAATGACGTTGCCAATCTCAATGTATGTCATGTCATGTTTTACAATTTCGTCCCAGTATGGCCGAGCACCACTTCATCTTGCAGTTATAGTCAATAAGATCGACATATGTTGCCTACTCGTTGATAATAATGCTCAGATCAAAGAGAAGAATAAGGTGAGATACACTACTGTATATTCCTCAAAACAAAATAGGTCATTCTCCAAAATGGCAAATATTTTACTTTTTCTGTATTACTTAGAATGTAGTTGGCTACATAGTCACCGCAAAACCTATGGGCCTATAACCAATGGAAGCATGTAGAGGCAAAGGTTTCCTGAAAAGATTACCTATGCATTAGCAAACCTCGTATACTATCAGGTTGGTGTTTATTGCAACTCATCTGAAGTTGTTATGGTAATCGCACTCAGACTCTAAAATTAACATTTTGATTATTGCATTGTGACTTTAATAAATTATAAATATACTGTATTATCATCATCACGATCGTCGTCGTCGTTCGTTGCTGTCTTCTTCTTTTATGACTGTTTTTGTTGTTGTTTTATCATTATTTTTCGAAATTTTAGGAAGGAAAAACATCAATAGATATTGCTGAAGAACTGAATCATCGAACGGTGGCGGATTACTTAAAAAGCGAGGTAATATTTATTTAAACATTTTCTCCAACTTCATACTTTTTCGTATTTTTTATGAGCAATTTGTCAGTCGCAGTTTTGAAACCGCACAATGAAATCCGTGGAGGTTCGAAAGTATATAAGGATCTTGCTCCTAAAGGCCTACTTTATCACTGGGAATTTCGAGGTATTAACATTGAAACTAAAATTACTGCAGTAGCCTGTCCTGTAAAAGACATACTTTAATCATTGCTGAAAATAATTTTAGCAGTCTCTATTAACATAAGATGCGCAAAAACTGCGCAAAATGATTTGACAATTTGCAGCGGCTGGGGGCACCAAATAAGAACACATATATAACGATGATTGACATAACCATGATTTTGTAATATAGTTACGACCAAGGTGTAATCACGACACACCTACGAAACATTAATTCAATCTTTTTAGGCCAACCTTCAGGATCTTCTTAAGCTTGCTGAGGGTGGCCAACCTTTAGATGTGCTGAAGCTGAATATTATTGGCCATCCTATGTCTGGAAAGACAACTCTCCTCAAGTCACTTTCTAAGGTATGGTTCTGGTTCTGGTGGGTAAAGTCGATCTCCTAATATGCTATTTATTGGATCCTCATCGTCATTATCATCATCATTGTCATTATCATCTTCATCATTATCATCACCATCATTATCATCATCATCATCATCTTCATCATCATCATCATTATCATAATTATGAGACCTATTATTATTTTCACCATTATTAATGATTTCCATAAATTTACACATTTATAAGCAACGTTCTTTTTTTTACCAGAAACGTTGGAACCCGCTACGTCTCTTAGAGAAACAGAAAATACCTCTTGCGATCGACCACAAGGCGACACCAGGCGTACGGATCATAAGCGCTTCCATTCCAAATGTTGGCAAGTTCAGTGCAAGGGACTTTGCTGGACAGAGTGAATATCATATAACACACAGTGCATTCTTCGGCATTCGTAATGCCATTTTCCTACTCTTGTACAATATAACTATCGACCAGAGGGAACAAAAATCTCAGGCAAACTGTGTTTTATTTTAATTGAACTTATGCTTTGAATACTTATTTAAGTGTAGGCCTATTATTGAGAATGATACATTATGTCTACATGATGTCCTCTGTCTATATATTGCATAAAAAAGAGTTAATTAATCTGTCAACAAATCAACAACATATCGATCAATCAATAAATCAATAAGCATATGGCTGCCCACTCTTTTGGTCATACCTGCAGTTGCCACCTTTTGAAATGTTTTCCAGTGGCGTAGCTAGAGGTTTTGGCGCCCGGGGGAAAGAGTAGAAAATTGCGCCCCTTCCAACTAATTATAATTATAATATTGTGAAATAAATTTATATTGATTGTATAGGTTTTAAGCATATCCGTAGTACCGAACGTCCGTATCACGCTCTGTAAAAATAAGCACTGTTCTAGCTCCATATAGTAGGTTCTTTCTTACCAGGGGTGGCGTCAGGATTTGCCCGATGGGAAGTGGGAGGGTGATGCCCCAATGAGGGGGAAGATTTCCCTGATGAGAGCAAAGTGGGCATGACCAAGCGTTGCTTAAAATGTTCCAAAAGTGGTCAAAGAGGCGAAGCCCCCCAAGCTTATTTAATCGATTGTAGAGTCTACTAATATGTAAAAAAAATACATATAATTTTGTTTTCTCCCCGACGAATTATGGTTTTTTCCCCCGACCGGGGGGGGGGGGAGAGGTATCCCCGAAGGGGGCATCCCCGAAGGGGGCCTGGCCCCCACCCCTGGTCGCGCCACCCCTGTTTCTTACTTCTGAAACTGCATTACCGTACGATGTTCGGAACTTTGTATACAACTTTACCATTATCCTAATTTGTAAGGCCGTTGTATTTATCGCATACCGGTACAGCTTAGTATTCTTATTGTCTTGTAAGTTGCTGAATTTTTAACATTGTTTAAACTCGCAACTGAATTTTGCGTGCTTTTGCATCTGCAAATAAGTTAATATGTACTTAAGGAGTGTCAAAGCAGATAGACTCTCTTGTCCCATCGTGGCTCTGAGATATGGCAGGATGAGCTTTAGTCATGTAAGAATAGGATAAAAAAAAAATAAAGAAAACGGTTGAAATGGACTGAAAAGAATTCACAATCTATATATTTGCGAATAAAAACAACTGCATTCAGATTTTTATTATTAACTGGAAGATATTCATTCCTGACGACATACATCAATTTCGTCATGCTTTTCTAAAAAGTGGTTATTTCTTTTACTCTCATTCTCCCGTTTCAGCGCCCCACCCCAAACCTGGCGCCCGGGGCACGTGCCCCCTTTGACCCCACCTCCCCTAGCTACGCCACTGATGTTTTCTGCCATTTGCAACTATCTATAGATTCCTCCTCTTTCAGATCAATCAGCCAAGCCATCTTTGGCATGTTCTTTTTTTCATTTATCATTTCTACCACCTATAACTACGCTCATCCATTCTCTTGGCATATCTTATTGACTTCTGTTGGTTCATATTTTTCAAAATCGGTGATCCAATTTCTATTTAAAAAAAACTTTACTATGAAATTGTTTGAACGTTGGGTATACAAACCATTTAAATTAGGCTTATATTTATTTGAAGTTAAAACATTGGTTGGCTATGATCAAAGCTTGTCAGAGGGAATCAGTTATATCAACATTCCATCCCGATGAATTTAACAGCGGTATTGTTATTGTAGCCACGCATATGGACTTGGTGGATGATTCCAAGAAACGTGAAGGTAGGAAGATTATATCACAGACCCTATATACGAATATAGGGCTGTGGTTATATCATGAGGCTCAAAACCGGACACTCACTGCGTCATACGGCCGTCGGCCGACGAATCCAACTCAGGGTTAGACGACGCGACGCCGTCGGATAATTGTCGATGACAGTCGAAACGATCCGTTGTGCGAGCGACGGAGCGTGTCGTTGCCGCTCTCCATAGAATCACGTCGGTCTACGACCGTCGCGACGGTCGGGCCCAGTGAGTACCCGGCTTTAGGGTGTCCAACATCGTAATGAACTATTCATTTTCTTCCACTTCTTCTTTCCTACCCAACAAACTAGGACCTATCTTATATTTTATTGAAATATGATATACCATACACAAGATAATCAATTGCGATATTTGTAATTTTTCTTTGTATTTCTAGCAACAAATCTCGCTAAGCAGAATGTCGAGGAGATGCAGCAGATTTTTAGAACACTTAATATAACTAGTGACTGTGTTGTGCTCCAAACGCACAAATCATGGGATGAACAGATCAAACCATTGCGTGAATCACTTGAGAAACTCGGGAAACGCATAAGAGTAGGCCTAAGTATACATTTAACAGAGATGAGGCATATAAAATGCGTGACTGTTGTTTGCAAAAACTGTTCATTAGCATATGCCAATATGTCCGAAAACTTCGTGTTTTTTAACAACGTGTTTTATTGTAGGGTACGAAAAGGATACCAGTGATATGCCAAAGAATAACAAATCATCTTCAGGACTGGGTAGAAGAATTAGCTATGGCTCCGTTGATGAGTTTTACCGCATTTGAAGAACGTGTCAATTCCATTACAAATGCATTCGTAACCAAAGAACTACTTAAAACTGCGGCCCGGTTTATGACCGACACAGGCGAGGTAATAATGTTCGTGCTTTTTATATATTTCACATAGGCGGCCCTATTTGTTAAGTAGGCCTTGTTCTTACTTAATGTAGTACTGTAATACATTATTATTATGGTTACGCCTTATTAATCAGATGATAATACTGTAATGATATAATTAATATATCATACCTTGTATCAAATTTATTTTGATATAATGGTAATCAAATTATAAATTAAATATTAATCATTATTATTTATATTAATTATTGATTAATTTGGTTTCAAATAGATTTACTTTGCGGAGTTTGACAGTGACGAGGTGGAGGACCAAGTGGTTATAAATCCTGGTTGGCTTACTTCAGACCTGTTCGGCAGACTGTTCGCGAGCAGCTGTCACACTCTGTTTGATGGTGTTCAGAGGGTACCAAAAAAGGAACTTTTCACCTACAAAGAAATCAGTGAAATTGTAGGACAGATTGCTAGCCCCAAATTAGCTATCCAACTCCTCAAGCATCTCAACTTAATACACGAACACAGAGAGGATACGTACATCATTCCAAGCCTTTTACCTATGGATCTTCCCGTTGTGCAATGGTCTGCAGACGACCAATCTGTCTACTTCGGTAGACATATAAGGTGTGTGGATGAATCAGATATGTTTACTCCCGGATTTTTTCCGTACCTACAAGTGAATATTTTGAAGCGGTTAGAGGATTTTGTGGCCCATAGTAAACTGACACGTAATACAATCAAAAGTGCAGTTGGCTATGTTGAGAGTATCGTCAAAATGTCGAGTGATCAAATGTCATTATTTGTTGCTGTAAAAGTCGATGATGTGCGACATAAAGAAGAGTGTAATACGGTTTTGTCACAGTTGATGAATGATGTAGATGATGTCAAACACCATGTTTCACAAGGAACACACACCGAGATGCGCGTTGTTAGTGTAGTAGACATGAAGAAAGAATCCGACGTCACAGAATGCCACAGTTACGCACTGGAAGACGTAATTGCAGCTGATGATGGCAATGGATTTGTGGTAAATACGAAGCGGGGTAAAAACGAACACGTCACTGAAATTATATGTGCAGGATATGACATCACTATTTTAAAAGTTAAAGGTTATGCAAGTGACATAAAGTGGTTAAAATCAACAGTTGTTCAAAAACTTCAAGTGTGTTTGGAACGTGTCGCAGAAATGCAAGATTATCGCACATTTGCCGAGAAAATTAAGATAATGGATGCCATCGAGATAGAGCATTTACATGAGGTAAATCTACCTGGAAATGAAGGAAAATTATCTATGCTCTTAAGAAAATGGTCCGAGCATCAAGAAAGATGCAGTACAATTAGTAATCTGTGTGCTATATTGAAAGACATGGAGCGACATGATGCTCTGAACATTGTTCATAAATCGCTGAGAGAGGAAGGATTCAGCCCTGTTTGACTCTCAGAGTCCAGCGACTTCGACGTCATAAACTGAATGTACCGTGCACATGAGAGAAAGTAAAGTCATTCCAAGCTATAGCAACCAATCAATGGAACGCTTTTCCACATAATGTAGCACTAAGGTCCGCTTTTTGTATGCCTCTTTTAAGAGGCAAATTACAATTTGTCAAGTTTGAAATTACAGTATCTGGTACCTAGGTCTAGATCTATAATATTTCATTAATTTCAGCAGTTAAATTGCTTCAATATTACTCTCAGTTATATCTTCACTTAATGTACGCCTTGAGAATACAATTAACGATAAGCACTTTAGAATTACAATGGTTCTCTTCCAAATTGTTCCTGTATAGGCCTACATACAATACGGATTTACATAATATAGTGCCAAATGATGATTGAAAGTCATTGATGACTTCCTATACACTCACACCAATATGTTCTAATGTGATCTTTCTAATTGTTTATTCAAAGTGATTTAATTTCCCACATTAGTTACCATGATGAAGCTCAGAATATGGTTCAACTACTGTTGAATAATAGAGCACCTACGGCAATTTTCAAGATCGACTCTTCTCTGATAGCAACACATCGGATAGAGATCCGACCCTGTACACAGGGTATATTTCAACATGGATTCATAGCAAACGATAGAGACAACTTTCCGGAATGTCAACTAACCAATCTGAATGGGCCCAGGAATACGCGCGTGTCTCACAAACACAGTGTTATCCATCCGTGGCTCTCAGCAATAGAGCGTATCTCGAATAGAAACCATTAAATCTTCGATAGGCCAGCTATGCTCAACCCGGAGGTACAACGCTCTAAAAAGCATAACCAGGGAGTTGCTGTAACTGCATTAGGCCTATAAAAAAAGCTGAAAATAATGAATTATAGCCCATAATGAGTCTACTGGTGCAACTAGTAACCGAGGGCCCTTCCAGAAGGACAAATTTGTCTAGAGCATTATCAATTACAATCACTGTGTCAATCATCAATATCGATTATAACGTTATTTAATACAGAGTGGCTGCAACTACGCCGATCTTACGTCATGCTGTAGTGCATTAAGATAGGCAGAGCAGCGTGACCACTCACAATTTTTGATATACCCAATGTCTGGGACAAAATTACTCAAGATTCAGCAAATATTGCCCAAAATTACCCAAGCTTCCTGAAAATGCATTAAAATTTGAAAAAAATGTGTTTTTCGCATATATAGTTTCCCTTTTAGTTCAATTTATAAACCATTTTTTTATTGTAATTGTTTGTGTTAATTATTAAAATTAATATTCATGACAGATAGAAAAATACGCCCTCAGTCGGCCAGTGTTATCAGTAGATCAGTGATCAAGTTTTATTATGTAATGCATTAATTAGGTAAGATCAATGGCAAAGCAAATCACAACTAAACAATTCTGAACCCATGTTTATAGCAATTAACAGTCAATTAACAATGAGTTTTGCTTACTTGAATGGACTGACATATATATACTTTGTTGCTTCTTAATTCTTCCTCTATGACAAAAATATTTAATTTTCTTAGTAAAAATAAAATACCCAAGGATTTGAACGGAATACCCAAGAACCCAAGACCAAGTCAAAATACCCAAGATCTTGGGTAAATACCCAAGTAGTGGTCACACTGAGACAGAGTTATGTTTTAAGGTTAGGGTAAAGCCAATTCGACCAATCAGCGTGTTTGAATTTGCATAATTTGGCGTAGACACAGCCACTACGTATTTAATAAGATACCTGTGGTGTATATTTCCTTATTAGTATTCTACTTAGTTTACTGAAGATATCTCAACGTGAATCAACTCACCAAAGTTTTGTAAACTTTTCAATTAATATTTCACACCATCACTACAGATTCTCTAGTTTGGATAGCTAAATTTGTACGAGCAACTTTACATGTACAGTAGGGCCTAGTGTATTTCGAAATTTGCCGCCATGGTTATTTTTGTTTACGATAGTAGTATGGCGCCCTCTATAATGCGTAATTAGAACTTTACACAGGGATGGATGGTTTGAGATTTAAAACTCACCCTTTTCCATAGTTTATACTTTTAACCTCCGGTAAAGAGCGCTATATGATGGCAAATGCACAAATGCTATTATTATTATTACTATTATTACCTGCAGTCAGTGAAAGAAACAATTTGTTTTCCAGGTATGAAACGAGGGAAAACGTATACTCAGCCTCACCTTGAGTTGATACAATTCAATGCAGGGATGACATACATTTTGGCAGAAAATATATAATGTCTATGCCGATTTTTGTTTGATCGGAAAGAAATGCAAGAAAAGAAAGAGTGAACCCCCCCCCCAACCACCTCCACCACTTTGAAAAACGTTCCGCCGTCCCTGCTCTAGTGAATGACAAAAGCCACCACTGAACATTGGCTAATTAGTTTAGTTGATCAGGTAGAATAATCACACTGAATGACAAATTTACAGTGTAGTCATAGAAACTCCTTCACAGTGTTTGTCTTGAACTTGTTAATTAAATCATGAATTTGTTTATTACCCAGCATATGCTGTAACATGCATTTATAGTGTCTTCAGTTATGACAATGACTGTTTTACCCAGGTGGATGTTGTATGTATGTATATGACAAATACATTAACAGAAATCTGAATAATAGTAGTAGCAGCAGCAATCATAGGCCTTTTGCAAAAATGATGCACAAATTACAACATAACACAATCTCTAGGCAAACCCTTTACATTATTTTTATTTACAATTCATTATCAATATACAGTACAGGTAGTTAGTACTACCGTATATATAACTTCTACCTCCTTCATACAACAAACAAAACAGTAAATCTTGGTTACTTGTTTTTGTTTGAAATTCACTGATGATACTTAAAGATGATAATAATTATACATACTTTTTAAAGCAATATTTGTTTTTTAACAGATGCTGCAGCAAACGCTTGGAGGCTCAACAGTGTGATTTAGAAACCTTACAATTCTACAAAATGTACAACAAAATGTTAAAGCAGTTACTTTGTTTGTGGCACCATGAGGAAATATTCACATTGGTTGATTATTAAACACCCTCTTTCAAAATTCCGAAAACACTAGTGTATTGCAAACACAACCAAATCTGATACATATTCACACTGGTTGGGTATCACACACAAACAAGAGGTTTGCAATGGTTGCATGCCACACACAGTAATACTAATAGTACCTATATCATTGCTGTTTAGAGCTGATATAACAGCTAAAATTCACACTGGTTGGGTATCACATCAGTGGTGTATCAGAGTCTTGAAATGGTGGGGGAAAATGAAGTGGGGAGGGCATTGATTATTAAGTGAGTGGGAACTACCCTCCAAATTAAGGCAATATGAGGTGATTTTTAACTACTTGAGCTTGATGTTTTTGCTTGCAACATATTCAATTGGGGGGGGGGGGTAGGCGACTGGGGAAGCTTTTTTTTAGGGGGCCATGATTCATGCGCACCCCTAGATACACCACTGTATCACACACTCACTATAGTAACAATACTGGTAAAAAATACTAATTTAAAATCATTAAATCCAATTTTTTTTTATGATAATCCACACACACTGAAGATCGCACCTGGTTTGGTTTCATAAAAAATGCTAATAAAAGAAATAAATTAAAATTATTTTATATTAATAGTGTTTATATACTGTAATAGGCATATTATAATCCACTTTTAACTTTTCCATATTTCATAAATTCATTTTTAAGGAAATACTGTCTCCTAGTCAGTGGCAAAGCTAGGGGTCTTGAAATGGGGTGGGGGCTGGTGGGGCGCAAAGGTAAAGGGAAAGGCTCGATAGCGGTGTGCTAGCTTGCAAAATAAGGTGATTTTTTACTTAAGGGCAATTTTTTTGCTTCAAAAAATTTTAGTGGGGGGGGGGCACTGGGAGAGAGTATTTTTTGGGGCCCATGCCCACAAACCCCTTGATATGCCACTGCTCCTAGTACCTTCCTTGAAGAAACAAATATAAACAAAATATAAATTGATGTATTTACACCTTAATAAATTATATAATATATCATGTTTGATAAATCATTTCTAAAGGTAATTACTTCAGCTACTGAATAAGTGGTTTGCAAATTATAATTATATGAATACATTACATGTAAAAGATACTAAGCCTGTTTTTGTTATAATTTTTCTTAATTTATTCATCACATGTAAAATTGTATTAATCACATGTAAATATTCATAAAATGATACAAGAGTTGAATATGCTCCTGTGTATTCTATTGTGTTATTAAAACAATTTGTGTTATTTTTTTTAACAATTGGATGTCCTTTCAATAAAATACTAAATACAGGAAGACTGCTAATTTGAAAAGTAGGCTGAGTGATATGATTGGTGGAATAAGACTGCTAATTTGAATGCACTGCTGTACGCGATGTGATTGGTGGAATTGGATCAGTAGAATGCAATGGACGTACTACAGGTGTCTGTGAATTAAGAATATCTGAGACTGCTAATTCCTGGTCAATGGTATGACTTGCTAGTGGCCGTAGGGAACGGAGTTTTGCCGAGGTCACAAGGCCAGCATGGCGCATTTGAGGTATAGGACCTCGTTTGATTCTGTCAACTTCCTTTACGATCACGCCGGGTGACAGCTCCATGCTCTCAATCTGTAAAAATCAATGTTGATATTTTTTTAATGAAGTAAAAAAGGATACAGCAACATTTGCAGCTACTTGGGGTTTGAATTCAACACTAGTCACTAAGAGCAAGCTCTGTGATCTAGTGGTTATGACACCAGGCTACTGTAGTTATCTAGAGGTAGCGGGTTCGATTCCCACCCGAACCACTTGCAAGTATTTTTTTCACAGGTATTTGGGAGCGCACTGAGTCTTCTGTACGATAACACGTCAAGTAGGGCAAAACATCACTCCTATGATATTTCCCTGATGCAAACACATCGAAAATACACAGAAATAATATTTACTGTACTAAGCAAAATGTTGAACAATGATATCTAAATTCTACAATTGCCAAACAATTGGGAATTTCTTCATGTCCTAAATACACATGGATTTGTAGACAAACCGTGGTGCATCTAGGAATATTGACATGGAGCAGCTGATGGGGGGGGGGTAAAAAGTTAAGGGGATTAAACATTGAGTGAGGGAGGGCTGGCTGGCAAAAAAAGTGATATGAGATAAGTTAAAATCACCTACCACCTTTACTTATCTGCTAATTAAAATGACTCAAGTGTAATTTTTTTGCTCAGCGAATTTCCCGTGGGCCAGTGAGGGGTGAGCCTGGGAAGGGGAACCTGGGAAGATGCCTGTTTTGGAGTTGTGTGTGCCCCATGCTTCTCTGTATGATTTACCATGAGGGTAAATAATTGAAAATACAGTTAATTTAAAAGTAATAGGAAATATTGATAAGTGAATTAGAGCAAAACTGGATATATTACCAGAGGTGGCGGTAGGGCTGTTACAATGGCCTGGTTTGTATTGGCTTCATAGGCTTGTTTCAACTGGCTGCATATTGTGGTGTTACTTGCCATTGTCATACTGCTGACTGCTGGTGCAGTCAGTCTACTGCCATCTAAAATTGAAAAATTGAGAAGCACTTGATGGACTGACTGATTGATTAATTAACTGATAGATTGATTGGTTGGTTAAAATACTGATTAAATGGAGAGGTACCCTTTGTAGTTATGATACCACCTTTCATTCCATTAATTCATTTCATGTTTTGGTATATAAACACACAAAAGGCAACATAAAAATGAATTATTTGAATGCCTACAATACAAATGGAAGAACAATACAAGGCATTAAATGAAATAAATTATGCATAAATTAAAATACCAAAATCAATTAATATCACAAGCAAATTCAAATTAAATAATCAAAATACAATATAGGAACAATCATTTTAAAAAGAATAGCCTACAATTTATTTAGTTATCAGACAAAGTTCATATACAGCAGCAAAAAAGATTATAAAACGACTTGAAAGAATACAAAACCTTTCGATGATTTCACCTCATATACACAATATGATTTTATTCTAAATGATTTTCTTTACAACAAAAACAACCTCATAAATACACTTGAAATTAAAATTACACATAATGTGGAAGAACATGAGTAAAACATACATACCTATCTTGAAATTTTTCACATTGGTATGAGCTGTTATGGGTTTCTCAAAATATCCTGTAGGATTTTTATTATTTGAGCCATTTTGTTGTGTAGATTTTGTGAAGCGTCCTGTCCTCATTGCAATGAGTCTTGCATGCGCTGCCTCCACTGCTGGGTCTACTATCTTATATTTTGTTCTAACCCTAAAAAAACATAAATTTAAATCAATATTTATTTAGAAAACATTTACTTAAACATACAATTAGCAGGAATTTTAATGAATTTTACAAGGTTATTTTTATGTAAAATTTTCAGTATCTATATATATATATTTATAATAAATATTGCCTTTTTTTCAATTCTGTAAGTAGCACCTTCCGTTGCTGTCGAATAGTGAACAAATAAAATAATAAAATAAGATAACTAGCATTAATAATAGTAATAATAAAGACAATGACATTAACAATAACAAAAAAATAATATCAATACTGTAAAAATATCAATTAAGAGAATTTTTCTATTCATTCTCACATAACATTGAGCAAATTCCTACAGTATTTACAGGATGAAATATCCCTATGCTGTGGGCTATAAACTCATGCATGTACTGTATATGGAAAATATTAGTGACTATCACTGACTCACCTATGTGACGGTAACTTGTCTGGATCTAACCTAACAATTGATACAACATTGCCTTTTTCATCGTAAGTTACATCTTTACTTCCAGGAGGACGCCCTGCTTGAACCTGCCAAATCAAAACAAAAAAATGCTCTTATGCAAGCCTGGATCACAGTGACATAAATATCTATAGTTTCTCAATGAAAAAAGAATGTTTAGGTGCACAATCAACGAAATATGCATGCAACACAGCACATTTTCAAAGAAGCATGCGTGTAACACGCTCACAACAGTTGCACAACACGTATACAACTACGAAAGGAATGAAAAAAAAACCAAGTTTTTTTTCGTCACCATCACAGATACACACTCATTAAACTCCAAACCACTTAGTGGTGTAGCTATGCCTTAGGAAAGCATCAATACAATTGTTTATTAAAGTAAAATGAAGAAAGATAAACTACCTTGAGTATAGAGTGACAGGACGATGGCATATGTTGCATAAGTGCATCTTTAGCGTTTGGAGGTGATGGTGGATTTTCAGCCTCTCGCAGTGCTTTCTCTGTATCATCTAATGATTCTACGTTTTTCAATGGTGCTGACTTTAAACGTCCTGTGTATGCCTTGTATTTAAACTTTGCTTTCATTTTTGATTTCTCTTTCTGAAATTATACAAATCATTAATCATTTTGAAATATTTTCATCTGACATGATTTAATTGTAATAGATTTACTTTACTTTTGTCCAAATACAACAATTTTATTTTCAGTTATCAAATATCATTAATACATCCAACCAATAATATAAAAATAATTATAAATGTCTAATAAATTATGATGAAGAAGCAACTAAAAATTATTATTTATTATATTATTTGTAAATAAATATACAACAGATCTCTTGTCATATCACAGGTTGACTATGCTGATTCATTTCTATACAAGTATGGTGGTCATTCTAACACCTTTGATGCCACACAATAGCTTCAGGGCAAAGATGCCAAAACCATTAATTTTTCTCAGCTCATAAAATTGTCACATGCGACACCTCTTCTGCAACAACTTTGCTGGCTCCCCATACCTGACCATCTAAAATTTAAAGTCCTGATAACCTTCAAAATTTTCCAAAACTCAGCCATATATTATATTGATGTGATAGAGGACTAGATTGGTTGCAGTACATTTATTATCAATATTTTTGGCCTTTTGAATATCAATACTTTAATTATTAATTTCATTCTTTTCAATTTTGTTTTATCATTAATTTATTATCATTATTATATTCAACATCATTAGTATCATCATTGTTATTAATATTATTCTTTATTCCCTATTATTTTTTATTAAAATTCTTATTATATACATACCGATGACGGCTCACTTGTGCCCTTCTCTTCCTCTTCTATGCTTTGTTTTTCGTCTTTCACTTGTTCCTGCATCTCTTCTTCCTCCAGTGTAGCAGTATCATTGACAGTGGCCATATCATCATCAATGATGTCATATTGTGATAGTGGTGTTACTACTGTAAATTCTGTGTCAGCTTCTGTTATCGTTGGAGAGGCTGGGGGATAATGTCGCCTAGGAACAGAGCCTTGAGCCCAAGCATCTTGTACGCATGGCAATGGCTCTATTATCAACAAAAATTTAAACAATAACAATGATTTAATACTCGATTTGCATTGAGTAAATAAGCAGACATAGAAAAAATCTACTGATGATAACAATAATTAGGACCATGATGAAACCAATTCACTCCAGGGATCTTTTCTGAAGATTGTTGGTTTGTAATTTGTTCTTTTAATATGTAACATTTTATATTTACAACACCACTAACAATTTCAGAACAACAGTACCAAGCCAAGCTGTTAGAAATAATAACTTTATCCAACGGAAGCAGAAGAATTAGTTATTTAATTACATCTTCAGAACAAAGGCCAGCAGTAAAGGAGCAAAACCAAAACAAGACAAAAAAAATACAAAACAGCCTGGTAGTTGACTAAAGGTCTATACATTCGCCAGGCCTAACATTTAAATATTAAATATTATTTATATTAGACAAATACATCAATTTATATTACCATGATCTTCTAACCACGTTGGATCTGTTTCAGGATCACCCTCTCCCTCGTCTCTAGCTAAAAATTGCCACTATAATTTTTTTTTAAAAGAGTTAAAGAAAGATTACAATATGATAGTGCTTATTTTCATATTGTTTGAAGGTTCAAAAAGTTCTCAGATGGTAATAGTTCTTTACAAAACCATCTATTTGGTGTACTGCAAAATTATTTTATTTATATTTATATACTGTACAATGAGGTATGTAGACTTCGATAGCAAATATAGAACATAAACAGTTTCATCAAATGAAAGATTACTGTTACATTTAGTATTTAGGATAATGAAAAAAAAAATGGAAATACATGAAATATTTAGGAATTCCAAGTAATAATGTTACTATTATTTTAAAAAATTAAGTACAGTATATTACAATATAACTATGTGCAGAACCAACATCTATTCAATATTTCAATTTTATTTTTCTATTATTAATAATGTAACTATTATTGATATTATTATTCTAGTGTTAATTTAGCTATTTTCATTTTATTGTTGTATCGCATAGAGGCCTTGTAATATTGCTATTTAATTATAAAATTAATTAGTATCATTAATCATAATATTTAACATAATCATCATGATCATAATAATCACATCGTTGCTATCATTATCATTAAACATTAATAATGATTGATTTGTAAATAATGTTAAAACTAACCTCAATCACTTGAAGAATATCCTCTTTTGCCTGTGTTATTGTATACGGATATAGCTGTCTTTGTATATAACTATCGTATATAACATTCAAAGCAGAATTGACAATATCACCCACAATATCTACAACAAACTCCTCACTATGCTCATTATCTACCAGACTGTGCCTATAAAAAGAAATGTAAAAGAAAAAATAGAAACCAAACAGATGAACCAATTATAGTCCTAATTCATAATAAAGACATCAAAATTAGGAATTGTTAAAATTTTAATATAATAATTAAAAACAAGATATACGGTATGTACCCTTGTAAAAGAGAACACATGGCTTTTCTTCATTGAATACTGAGTACTGATTTTTTTTTATTATGAGGTTCAAAAAATACAAAAAAAAAAAAACTGAACATGGTCTAATGGTAAGAAAGTGCAGAGTTACCGCATATTTCGCTACAGAAACCACCACTGTTGCGGCCAGTGGATTTTCAGTCTATGTTTGTTAAAAAACATTAAAACAAAAATTCTACAGTGGGTAAAGCCAAACATGTTACTGTATTGCGCATTTATAATAAATATTAAATACAATACTATACAAGGTGTGATTTCTTGCAAGAAATAGGCCAGGTGTGTGGAAATAAACTGTATTTCAATTTTATGAGTCTTCAAAATACTACAAATTGCTGTTATATAGTTTAAATGCTGAGCTTTGAAATAAAACTGATAACTTGTGAGTATTAATTGTCAATAATATTAAAATTTATTTATATAGTATACGTTGGGTCCTGCTAATGTAATTTATCAAGTACAATTACTCACCAGTCACTTTCTGTAAATCGGCCTGGAATCACATCTGTATTTGGGGCTGGTACAGGTACAGATGTGCTTCCTCCACGATCCTTTTCTTTTTCTTTTGATCCCTTGTCCGAACGGGACTTTGACATTGTTGAACGTGACATGTCTTGATTTGCAAAGTAAAAAAAAATAACTATAATAAGTAAAAACACTACAAGGCATTTAATAAAACTTTTTGTTAATTTTTTTCTCAATTCAGTTTTGCGAACTGCAATGACAAAATTTTATTTGAATAAAGATACCTTGATACAAACAACCGTCTTTAATCAAATTACTGATCGCGGGCTCAATAATGAGACCGATCGTGTAGTAGCAAACATGTTTCAAAAATACTATTCCCATCATCAGTGCGAAAATACCAATTCTGCCAAGGTTTATATGCATTAGAACATGTGTATGAAAATTGGCATAAAACAATTAGACTCATTGTTGAGCCCGCAATCTGTCATTCGAATAAAGACGGTTGTTTGTTTTATTAAATTAATTAGTTTAAGGAATAGGAGTAGTTTAGTCTCAATGTTATTATTGTTATTATGATTATTTTTATTTTATTTTATTGTTATTTGCTTTTTCTCAGTTGGCCTATATTATTTCTCTGTAAAGCGCATAGAGGCAATGTGCAATATGCGCTATATAAATATAACATTATTATTATTTTTATTGTTAAATGCCTCATGTTTTTACTCATTTGAAATTTTGGTGGCATTATTCATGACCTATCTGATAAATAACTATAATTATTGAACAACACAACACTCTAAAAAGGTTCATTAAATGAAATCAATAAACTTTATTAGGCCCTCTAGCTGGGTAGGCCAAGGCTAGGCCTATTCTTTTACTCTACACAAGATTCTTATATTACATTGTAAACTGTAACAACCCGTATCATGGAGTGTATATTAACCGGCACTAAATCACCTAAGCACAGTATAAATCAAGTGTGTTTTTAATATATTTTGTTTCTGTGAAATTCATGTACAGTGTATGTACTGCACTAGGCCTAAGCCTATATTGAAAAGAAGCACAGGGCCCGGGGCCAATCAATCAATCATCCATCATCATCATCATCTGATTTTAGAAAATAAAATTTAACTCTCTAATCTACAACGTACAGCTCTAACGTTTGATATAAGAAACAAGGAAGAAATTGCATTTCTATACTTCCCTGCTCTGGCCTAGGCCTACTTTAAATTCTACTACTAGGCCTACGTATAACCAGCCTAGGCCTCCAACAGAGCCTGCAGGGAGCGGAGTTCACACGACAAGACTCAGAGGGCCTAGTAGGTAGGCCTAGCTAGGCTACTAGCCTAAACTAGACCTACCTAATACCTGTTTACCTATTATATATAAATATCGAACATCTTAATTATGTGAAAACATACCTTGGTGTTACGGTACGAATATTAATGTTATTTTACATTTTCTTAACTTCGAATATTGATAAATATAATGAAATTTATCACTTTGCAACTTTGTTTTGGCGAAATGTATCTGTTGCTAAGAAGGAGGTCACAGCGCATGATCGCTACTAAGCTATCTTGAACGTGATTGGTTGTAACGATTGATTAATATGAGGTTAGCAAGATTGACCCTACACATTTGTCGATCATGTATTTGAAAAATACCGATGTTAAAGGAACTGTGAAATGACTTTATTTTGTAGGCCAATGTATGATGCATCTGAATTGTTATATTTTCACTGAATACATTATAAAAACTACGGTGAGTTGCTATTGAATGCAGTAATGGTTAATATAGGCCTCCTACTATATAGTTAACGGGAAAATGAAGGTCGCAAAAGAGGCTACAACAAACAATAGAGGAGGAGTGGCCTAGCCTAGGCCTACACGTAGGTAGTAAGGTCGGATGGCCTCCCTATCCATCCATGCGCATGTGATGAGGACTAGGCTAGGGCCTAGCCCTAGCCTAGGCTAAAGTGTAAGGGACAAGGCTTGGCCCTCCTATCTTACCTTGAAATTGGCCCTCTCCTAGGCTTAGGCCCCTAGGCCTAGTCCTAATTTTTAATTAACAAAAACATTGTTCACAAAAATAAAAATATTTAAAAATTAATAAAAATTTCAAACAATTAGGCCCAGGGACCTAGTCCTAGGCTGGCTTAGGCCTGCCTACTATCCTAGGCCTAGTTAACCTCAGGTCTACGTATGGTTGCTTGTCAAAACGGCAATAAGCAAAACGGCAACGACCAAAACAGCAATATTACAATAACCAAAACGGCAGTAAACCACAACGGTCATAAAGCCATTTGTTTCATTTTATTATTTTCTTCTGTTTATTCATCAGGATTAAAGATGATTTCCAGTCCCATTCCAGTTGATCCTGGGTATGGCAAGAATGGGAGGGGCCAATCTATGCTTGACACTAGGCCTGTACCACGTGTACGGCCAGAAGCTGAGGTTATAGCATTGCAGGCTCAGGGTACAGTGGGCAAACTGCTACAGGTTCAAGGGCAGCCAATTTACAGAGCTCCAGTTACCAAAAGTAAGTATGTATATATGAAAGAAAGATATTTCACAAGAAAAGATATTAATCAATACTTAATATTTATAACTGTTATTTTTGTTGACCTATATTCAGAACCAGAACCAAAGAATTTTTCACAGGAAAATGTGAGGCGGATGAGAAAAATCCAAGCAATGAGCCGCAAGAAAAGAACAGAGGAAACAATTGCCAAGAATCAACCTGTGAAAGTCCTACCACAGTCTGAAAAATATAAGGAAATCCAGTCAAAAGTTGCTGCCCATATCCAGGTTGGTGAGGCATTGGTGAACTAGCTATATTAAAAGAGAACTAGCAAAATGATTTTTTGTTCTAGAGTGGATTTTTGATATGCCATTAATAATAGAATCAACTTTAAAATCGTTCTTTGGCTATTTTTTATGAAGTTATAGGTGATTATATACGATTTTACCATGACGTCACTGGCGAAAAAGTAACAAAAGATCGTGTAAATAGCGCCGCGTAGGGTGTCCACCGCGTAGGGTATCCGCCGCGTACGATCTTTGAGTGCATGCTGTAACCATGGAGGTATTATTAATACCTCCATGTTGTAACAATCACAATTTACAGCCATGGTTACAGCATACACGCAAAGATCGTACGCGGCGGATACCATATACGCAGCGCTATTTACACGATCTTTTGTTACTTTTTCGCCAGTGACGTCATGGTAAAATCGTATATAATCGCCTATAACTTCATTTAAAAAAAGCCAAAAAACGATTTTAAGGTTGATTTTATTATTAATGGCAAATCAAAAATCCTCTCTAGAACAAAAAATCATTTTGCTAGTTCTCTTTTAAGCCCTGTCTAGACTTTCAAATTTTATTTGACAAAAAAATGTGACATGCCTAAATATGGTCATAATGACATCACATCGTGACCGTATATAGGCACATTATGACCGTATATAGGCACATCATGACATCCTTATTCTGTTTTTTATGTACAGCGCATTGAGAGCTTGCTTACATGCACTATAAGAATGATCTATTATTATTATTATTATTATTGTTATTATTGTTATTATTATTATTTTATTATTATTATTGTTATTATTATTATTATTATTGTTATTATTATTACTAATTATTATTATTTGTGGCCATACAACTGTTTTTGTCAAATAAAATTTGATAGCCTGGACAGGGCATTAGAATACTTGAGATGATGATGATGTCATTGCCACACATCGTCATTCTTTGGGTGTGGTGTCATAAAATCAAATAACATACTGTAATTTTGGTGACAGTGGGGATCCCCTCTTTTTACAACTTCTAACATTGACAAATGAATAAAATAAATACTATTAATAAAATAATGAAAAGTATTATAAATGAATTAAATAAAATTGAAATTAAAATAAAGTAAAAGAAAGTAAATATACACAGTAGTGTCATGTTTTAAACTTCATTAAAATGACTATTCATCTGTTTTTTGTATACATTATAATATTTTTAATTAAACTTGGTTCAAGATATATGTTTATAAGATATATGATTTTATGGGTGTCTTTTTACTACTAAATTTTAATATTTTATATATGATTAAGACATGTATCATTAATTGTATTATTCACCTTACCTTGTGATCTTTGTCGATGTATTTTAACAAAATTCAATGTATTCTATGTTGTAGATTAAGCTTTCATAATTTTTGAAATTAAGTCTCTTCTCTATTGTATTAATTTAAACAAGACCATTTTAAAAACAGACCGTTACATCTTGTCTGAAATTGGATCCTGTATAAATATGTTTAAATTTAAAAAAAAATAAAAAACTTATTTTTTTGTAGCAAGTACCACCTGCACCAAGACCAGAATCTGCAAACTATTTGAGGTCATACAGTAGGTCAGGGTCTGCTCCACCTAGAGTGCGTTGTCCTAGCCCAGGCCCAAGAGAAAATCAACATAATCAAGCATCAAGAGATGTGAATTTACAAGTGCAGGGACGCTCGAGGGGTCCAGCCCCACAACGTAGACCAGCAACAGCTGACCAAAGAGCTCGTTCTCCCAGCCCAGCAACTAGAAATCGTTCTCAATATCAAGTAGCGCAAGGCAGGAACATGAACTTGGAAGTGAAAGGATTCTCAAAAAATCCAGCACCGCAGCGTAGGCCAGCAACTGCAGGCCAAATAGGTCGTTCACCTAGCCCAGGACCAAGACCAAGAACAAGTGTAAGATATATAGTAATTTTCTTTCATTTTAATGAAAAAATGTTTTACAGTACATGGTTCTTGTAGAGTTTACTACTTCTCTGTATAGATTACTTTTGTATTCTTTATAATTGAATTATTTATTTGAAATATGCTTTATCAACAGAGTTCATCAGATATAAATTTTGTAGCCCACAATGCAAGATTGGCTCGTAAACATCAGCCTCAACGGCCACCATCTGCAGTAGCACAGTCAACGTTGGAAGAGAAGAGGAAGGCTGATATGGAAAATTACAATAAAGGCCAAGTACCAAAGTAGTATGTTTATGTTTCTTTGTTATCAGTTGATATATTCACAGATTAGGACTGATAAAGAATGTGAAGCAAGCTTTGGAGTTTCACAGGTTCATGTATTTGTGTTAAAGTTGTTGCTATTTTTTAAACTGTGGTCTTGTTAAATGCCCCACTAAATCACCCACAATTTACATCATCAGTTAGAATTTCTGTCAATTTGTTTCAAGATCATAAGATAACATCTTGTATTTGCTAGTTTGAGAAACCGACAACAACAATGGCAAGCAGATGAGGCCGAGAGAATACGAAATATTCCAGACCCTGAGATGCCACCAGGACACAAAATGATGCCAAAGGAAGAGAGAATAAAGACACTCAACATTCTTAAAGAAAGTATGTAATGTTATTAATCAAAGTAGAGTAATGCAACACATTCTGTCTCTTAAAGCATTATGGTATTTCCTGTGACAATGGTCTATGATTTCTCCATAATATGGATATTGTAAACCAGGGATGGGCATAAAAATCGGTTGAAGGGCTAAGTGAATTTTTGATTTAACACAAAGGTCTGCACCCAAACTTTGATGTTTTCAGTGCACTTCCAAAAACCTTCACACACTACTTTTATACCACTTTATTCTCAATTTTAATATTACTTTTTACAGTTGATCGGTGGCGGGCCATAACAAACAATGTGCTGTCTGTCCAGATGTTTGGCGGGCTGCACGCATAGGGTTTTTAAATCATTTCCATGGGCTGCAAAAAAAAACCACTGTCGGGCTGCACTTTGCCCATCTGTGTTGTAAACAGGCCTTTACAGCATAACTGCCTGGTTTTCCGTTTCTTTTTCTCTATTCATCTCCAAGCCTGGGTAGCAAAACCGCCATGAGCACTGAATGGGGGATACCGGCGCTACAGAAGTCTCCAGAATTTTTTTTTAGTTGACGAAACCCCCCACCCCCATGGTGCAAAAGTACCCCCAAGTGTGTTAAAATACTAAAAATGACCATTAGGTTTTCATTGGAGTAGGGATTGAGTTCCACATTCTCAATTTTTTGCACCTCCCCATGTGGAAACTAGCTTACGCCTCTGATAAGCATTAGCAACATAGCATATTAGTGCTACAATAGCCACAGTTTACAATAATTTATTAATGCTAAATTACTTTTGCTTACAGAGGAAAGAGAGCTTCAGTTGCAGCTTCATAAAGTGCCGCTGAATCCAGAAACATTCCGTGCCAAGACGTTAAAGACAGATATTGAAACAAAACTCGCGGAGGTTGAAGAAGCCATTAAGATATTTTCTCGGAACAAAGTCTTTATCAAAGTAGATTCCTGAGGAGGCAGATTTTTTTTATAAATACTGTATGCTAAAAACAATTTAATGTATTCTTTATTGATACAAGGGATATTAAGGTGACAGTCAAGGAATCCTGTATCTAATGGTGTACCAATAAGCCATGCCGGTTTTCAGTCACAGTGTACTGTTGAAATACCATTGAGGGCAGTGCATCCAGGTAGAGGGAATGCAACAAACTGATAGTACAGTACTGTAGTGCCTTTTAATAGATTTATTTTATGATCGCCCTCCAGGGAAAATGTATTAAAGTTATCTCCATATCCAAATGTTTTCATGTTTTCCTCCTTTTTTTACAGAGGCTGACATAATACCATAGCAAATCTTACATTTTTTTTCATTTTTTTTTTTTTTTTTTTTTTTTTTTTTTTTTTTTTTTTTTTTTTTTTTTTTTTTTTTGTGATTTGTCCATATATGGTTAAGGTATAACATCACCATTCCCATATATGGGCAAATCACACAAATTTGATAATATGGACAGACAATTATACAGGATATTGTAGATCAGTATGAAGATTAAGACATACATAATTTTATAATGTTGAAATGTCACATTACCTTGCAGTTTCCAAGTTATGGTTACTGGGAGCCGTCTTCAAAAATATCAGGTTGGAAATTATTTTTAGGCCGTTTATGAATGGGCCCCTAATTGCCCTGGGCCCCAATGCTTAGCACTGCCCATCCCTACAACACTGAAACTGCACATAACATATAGAGTACTGTATTTATTCAAATAAACCCTAAATTTCTGTAAACAAATCTAATGGAAGCAACATCATATGTTAATGTTTACTCCAGTAGAATTGATTTTTTTCTAACCTGGATGGGATCAGTAAGTCTTTTTGACCACACAATAACACATTTTAGGTCCACATTCATAGTGAAATTAAAGGAAATTTGAGTATATACGTATACCCCCTCAAAAATTCTTCTCGACAATAAACGTCCCGGGCGTTCACTCTAATACAGTACATGTGGTATCCGCCGTCCATGAATCGCAAGTATATGATACCGAGTTGCATTATACAAATCCCAATAAAATTTAAAATACAGTACTTTTGTAGGTTATATACCTGCAATGGTACAGTATGAATGTTTTTTTTTTATCTGTACTGTATGTGGCTTACTAACATTTCAGGTCAATGTACATAGTACTTATTCAATAAATATTTTTCATGATGCAGTAATGTAAATTCATTGTAGCAACAATGAATATTTGTATATTTCTTAGAACACAAATTACAGTAAAAAGCATAAAAATGGTTATTTTCTTAGATCTGTAAAAAAATTGTACAATTTTGTTTCATTTTGTATAAAATATAACTTTTGTGATATGACTATATTAGATTTTATGTACTGTAATATACTTTGATGTGTAAAGTATAAATAAACAATAGAACAAAAATACAAAGGTTTATTTTCATTCTTTGTGTACATTTATTGATAAAGCTTGAATAGCACCGGAAATATAATTTGCTTTAAAACTACTGTGACATAATGGGCTAAAATTTTATAGCAAATGGCGAATGTTGGAACATGAACCTTTAGTAATAATTTAAACCACTTCATTTAAATATGTAAATAATTGTTTAGAAATTTTAATTCTATTTTTCATTACAAGAATCAATGTTTGGTTTATTAAATATAAATGAGGCACTCTACGCCAAAAAAGTTTAAATCACTACTCTGCTACAGTATAAAATGGATCAGTCTAAAATGACAAGAACAATGGCTTGGAGGCCTTTTTAGCACACTGTACAAAAAGCATATTTCAATTATTAAAGGAGATTTGTACATTTACAGTATTGCTTGCTTATACTACTTTGGCAAGTATGTGGTTAACACACTTAACTTCACCTTCAACCTCAAATTTATTTAATTCATTCCTCATTAAACTTTTTAACCAAACCATCAAGGTTGATATTGTCTCTCAAAATTTAACTATTGAATCTAACGTATGTAAAAAAATATATAAAAATGCAACAAGAATCATGTAAAGGGTCCCAAGTCTCCCAGAAATTGATATAGCCACCCGCAAGAAAGAAAATTACCCTGCAAATTCAAAGTATTTGCATGTTTTTAATAATACATTAACAATTGTCTCTTGGAAATAAGGCTGCCTATGGGTATTATCACCATGCGTCGTAAAATTTAATGAAGAAAGCACAAACAGTGGTTTCTTCCAACTTGGGACCTATGGTACAGATAATGGAAACTTTTAGTGAAACCACCTTCTTGTTGTCTCAGTCAAAATATTTTAATCTTGTTTACTAACATTTTCACATTTTGTGGTAACTATTTTGCTTTTGATGAATAGTAGGGATATAATTACAAAAGGTGTAAACAAGCATAAATTATGAAAAGCTGAGTAAATTTCCAAGTAATATTTCATTATAAAATGTATCCATTTGTATACTCATGACAAATTAATATAGAAAAAATAACACATAATATTAAATCTACAAATTTTGCATGGTGGTAATTAGAATCTACAGTTAAAGTGCGTACAAAAATAACCCGTCTTTGGACTTGCGTATCATTCATGTTGAGAAAGACTGCAGGGGCGTCGGAATTCCTGACCATATTCGTGAATCCATTTGTTGCTAACTGCAAAACAAAACATTGAATCTGGTTACATAAAAACAAGTTTTTTGTGTTGGATTATTTATTTTGGAAAAATATTTATGAATGAGTTGGTTTATGGACCAAATTTGGGTATCAAAATTTTCTAAATCCCCACCCCCACCAAGTTTAAATTAATACTTAGGATCTGTCTTGAGGTCAACAGGGTCCAACCCCCTGCTGCCATGTATTTTGCCTCTGTCCAACAAGTCAAATTGGGTACCTAGTAGCCAGTGGTGTATCTAGAAGTCAAGAAATGGGATGCTGATGGGGTTGGGGGTGCAAAGGTGGAGTGGCTAGATGATTAAGTGAAGGGCATAGGTTGCAAACTATGGTGATATGAGGTGATTTTTACCTACTCAAACATGATTTGTTTGCCTCAGATATTTTTAATGGGAAGGGTGGGTGGGGCCCCTTTTTTTTGGGGGAGTGTGCCCACCCACTCTTTAGATACGCCATTGCTAGCAGCTGCAAATTAACTTATGCCAATTATTTCTTCCAATATTATTGGATCCTCCCCCAGGAAGCTGAGTAAATGTTCTTAGTATCTCATCGAATAACTGGGTAATAATATTATTATTATATTATTATACGGTAGCTTACCCCACTTAGAACCAGCAAGAACCGGGCAGCCAGCGTGCCGAGTCAACATATCTCCGTCCCCTGATTTGAACAGATTGTACCAAAATGCTGCTGAATACTGTACGTCAACAAAAACAAAAGAACACCTGGTTCATCAATGGCAAACTATTTGATTTAAGATTTAGCTGTAGCTAAAAATAAAATCAATATCATTTTATTTTAATTAGGGTGTAACAAATTCAAAATACTGAAATCTGTGTAGTATTAAATTCAGGCGCCGGAGGAAAACAAATTTTTTGATATGTTGTAGAACTGATTTTTCTAAGACAGAAAAAAGTAGTTTGATCAAAAACTGAGCAACGGTGAATGAGATACAGATTTTT